GAAACAGTATTCATACTAATATGCTTTTGGTAAAACATTTGTCACAGATTTCAAATCAAAAACACTCTAACACTGTAAAACGCACTTTCTTGCACCACTTTTTACACTTCCAGTCATTTTTTTTAATCTACACAGGAAATCAAGTCGATTCGATGTTTCGAATTGCGACTCCCGTAATTAAAAAATGAGAAATACATTATTTCCGATGATGAAATTACAGAGGTGATTGAAGTTGATTATAAAGAGCAGGCCTGGCGTAACCTACTTTTGGGCCCATTATACACGCATTAAACGTCCAACGATTTGCATTTTTCCACATAGGCGGGGATCTAGTGGTCTCGCGTATACGGTAATTTAGTAAATATTATCGGCCATTTTATTGGTGCTAATAAGCGAAGATCGACGAGCCTAGGCGCGGTTCTAGTGGCACGTAATTTGAACTTGGCGCAGTGGCGTGCATAGGTAAAATTACGTTTCTTTAGAAACGTCGGTGAACTCTAAGAAGATGAACAATAGATAATAGCTATTTGTGTATCAAGAGCGAAAAGTGATACTTTGCTTCTTGAGACAAAAGTTGGCCGCGCGGCGCGTAGCGGAGCGCGGCAATCTGTCGAACGCACAAACAATTTAAACTTTTTAAAATGAGGTTAGAAATATGTATAAGGACAAGGACTCTAATGTCAAAATTTCAGGTTTGCAATAAGTCTTATTTTAGCATGGAATTTATTTGCCTCTAATTACGTTGTCACTATTAGTGGTTGACGTTATAGAAATTTGCAATAACTCTCTATTATTTGAATTGAAATACATTACAAATTATTTGCAATAAATATCAAAAGAAGCTTACATTTTAAAATAATTTGACATTTAAGAGCAATTCACACATCACAGTTGACATTTTGATACTTGACAGGCACAGCCAAGCATTATTCTGATTTTTGCCAAATAAAATGGCTGGTTAATTATTCTATGGGGTTGCGACAGAGAGCCAGTAAATTTGATGAAGATGTTTTTATGGCTAGGGACGAAATAGTAGTACGCTTAAGTCAGTTCCACCATAAAAAAATTATTTTAAAGAAACTGCTTATAAATTTTTCATAAATTGGCAGGCTAGGCGACTAATTTCGAATAAAAATAGCTTCCAAAATGGCTATGGTTGCAAGTATGAAGGTCGCGACTCGCCTTAGAAATCTCACCTTTACTATCAAGAGCTGTTGTTTGACAGGTCGTTAGAGAATGCTTTCAATTTATGGAATGTTAAGAATGTTAGACGTTAGAAATGATTGGAATTCCTAAAATTGTCACATAAGAAATGCATTGGCGGATTTTAAGAAAATTGATATTAAAGTAGTTAGGATGAACCGAAAATTCTGAAAATCAATAGGGTTCTAAGTTAGAAGTAATTAGTCAAGAAAATCAATCAGAACTTTCGTTCTAGAGTAAGACTCGGAAGAATCATCGGAATCATGACAAAAGTTTTAAAAAATGGGGGTATGAAAATTTTTTCGTCTGCACGAACGCAATACTGAGGCCCCATAGGAAGAGCCTCAGTAAAAGAAATATTATTATATTACACTCTGTGACATTGAATAAGATCAGATATATTTATTATTTTTGGTCAATTTATTACTGAAATGTAGTAAACGATAACATTTTTGCCCCAATTTATCTTCAAATACCAAAGTAATTTAAAATTTATAAAAAAAAAATAAGCGTTTATTTTTTTTTGTTTAATTTGCTAAGAGATATTTAGTATTATTGCTTTTATGGTATTTAAAATATTGTTTAGCAATGCCTTCCATAACCGTGTATCCTCAATTAAGTGAATTTAAATGAGGTAGGATAGTGGGGTCTACAAGAAGGTGGATTGAAAGGGTTCAATGGAATGAGGAGTGGGATAGGATCGTTTTCAGTGACGAGTCACGTTACTGCTTGTGGGCTCATGATGGTCGTAAAAGTGTCAGATGAAGACGTGGAGAAAGGCTCCAACCTCACTTTTGCATGAAGCGCGAGACTGCGCTTACCAGAGGCGTTATGGGATGGTGTGCCATAGCAAATAGAAGCAGGTCACCACTAGTATTTTTAGACAGAAACACGAACGACCAGTCCTACATTAATAACGTGTTACAACCTGTTACGTTGTCATACCTTCAGCAACTGCAAAGAAAGATTTTAGAAAGATTTTAGAAAGATAACGCCAGACCACATACCTCTGCAGTTACCAGAGACTTTTGTCGATAAGCTAATGTAATCACATTTCCATGGCTTGCAAGGTCACCTGACTTATCGCCCATTGAACATGTATAGTATGATAGAAGGCTGGGACGACTGCAAGCTCTTATAATGGATGTAGACCGACTACATTATGAGATTAGATTAACCTGGGAAAACATACCTCAGGCAGATATTGATCATCTGATTCGCAGCATGTCACGAAGAGTTGCAGAGTGTCAAAACTTACTGGAAGGCGTAACTCACTACCGATTTTTATGAATACCTTTCAATAAATTTGTTTCATAATTTTATCGACTATTATTCCTATTGATCCCAATAAGTTCCCAAAATATTAATAAATTATATTCACTTTTACTGGGTGTTGCAATTTCAATGTCACGCCGTATATATTTATTTTAAATTAGCAACAAAGCTGTCACTTAATGTCAGTTCGCGGAAAACGTCAACTTTGCGGTAGTATTTCGAAGCGCAGAAGCCTACTTTGGATAGTGATCGTAAAAAAATATACAAATTAGATGGCAGAATACAAGTAGAGTCTGGATTATCCCAAAAACAAAAATTTTTAAAAATGCGTAATTCATTAAAAAAATTCAGAATATAAAATAACGAAATAAAGATGTTTTTAATTGCCAGTTGAATGCCCCCTCAGGAATTTACCATCGGGATGGTAGTGACCCACAAAATGGCTACTTTTGGAAGAAAAGAGAATGGATGGCATTGATATTTTGCCACAGGCATTGTTAATAATAAAATAGGGTATATTTGAATATTTAAAAAAAATAATTAGGACATCGCTCATTTAGTTCATTTCATTTTTATTTATTTGCAATAGGTAGGGAATACTTGCTGGTTGGGGTAAACCTTGTCAACATAGGATTTTCATGAAACTGTTGATGGTTTGTATATAATTTAGGCAATTGAATAATATATGATTCAGAAACGGTCTCACGAGTAAAGAATGGATAATTTCTGCCCAAAATATCGATAACGATAATATGATTATGTATATTTTTCGATATGTTATACCGGGTAGATACCAACTGTTAGGGACTCTAAGATACAGGTTACGTCAGAAACTGTGTAACAAAATTTTAGAAGAAAAAAAATTAATGAAAAATTTCGTAGATTACGATTTTCAAATTTTAGGTAATTTAATTTGGCATTTAAAAAAACTCGTTTCTTTGCCTAGGATCATTACGTTATCAACTACCTCGAATAAAACAGTTTTATCCAAATATCCTCGGTGTTGATAAATACTCATAATTTTACACTAACTACCTCAAAAGCATATTTTTTTAGATAAATTGCAAAAAATTATATCTCAATTATCACTGATAAGTTTAAAGATTCATACGATGACTGTACTAATACAGAAGATATAAATTTTAGCGGAGTAATTCAGGAAGTTAAACCGATTCGTTGGATAAGATGCAATCTGTGTATATTGACGTAGCAGGGAAAATTTGTTTACGATTCTTGCCTTTGGAAACTCGAACCAGTCTTGATGTAATAATAACTCGTTTTCTTTCAATGACCGCCCGTTCTGGATACTATAAATCGCATTCTCGATCATTTAAATGCCTTCGAGAATTTGTTTTTACAACCGTTTCCAATATCAACATTGTAGCAAAATATTTAGTTTTTTACTTTCGCTATGCAGCTTTCTACTATCTTGCAGTGTTTATCTGAAGAACTGATACTCTTAAATGGCATTCGATGCTATCGAACTCTTGATAATTTTATATATTTTCTGTTTTTCTAAGATTAACCGTATGGTTATATCATAAGGGGAGCTAGGTCAAACACTAGGGTCTATTGAACAGAGAGGTCGGTTACAAATTATATGGAATTCCACTATTAATAATAATACTCGAAATGCAAATCTCACCTCTATCTGCCATAATCTTTCTGTACTGACAGTTTAATTATATATTTTTGAAATATGATAGATCATTAATGAGTAATAAAAGTAGTAGAAGTACCAGATTGGAACCTTGTGGGATACTTGACGGTAAAGAATATATTCTAGAAGGAAAAGTGTTGTAAGCAATAAATTAAATAATACATTTTTTTATTCAAATTAAAAAATTATTTATCGATTGTCGTAATTTTTATACATAATTGTCCCAAAATTATTGAGTCAAATTATGATCTACTAACCCACTATTTTAAGTACCTTGACAATTACCTGCTAATTTTAGATTGACTTTTATTACAGGAGTTTTTAGGTGTACACAATCTTATCTATATTGATTTTAGTAATTTTTTCGTCTGAAGGATGTCTTGGATTTCATAATTGTTATCAGCATAACGAACAACATGTAGGTGTAAGCAATGATAGTGGCAAAAATTATTTATGAAAAAATGTATGTCGTTGATATAATTTGGTAAATAGAATGATGGTAGTTTTAAGTAGTTGTATCACATTTTAAAAGTATATATCTGCATATTTATTCTTACTAGTTTCTTTTGAATTTGATTTACCTAATTAATATTCATAAATAATTAACATTACAAAACCCGAAAAATAACATTCAGACAAAAACAGATTACCAAGTACTTTCTTACACTTAAATTTGACAACGTCTCAAAATACACAACTTCGAGTATAATGTATTTAGATCCAAATGATCAACTCAAAAAACCGTAATAAGCTCCGCATATGACCTTGGCGGCATCTGTTATACCTGTCGTACTGCACTTATTCAATCCAATTTAAAATTCTTCTATTATCTCTTAGGGGTCGTATATAAAACGTTTCTTACCTTTTTCTTTCGAGGCAGCTCGTCAGGATAGTAGTCCATGACGATACCTTCGTCGGATACGGAACTCGATGACAAGGGGGTGGTTTGGGGTGAGTATGCGATCGGTGGGGGTGATGGGGTCGACCTATACGACGCCGAACTGCTACTGCTGCTACCCGGCGACGTACCCGAGTAGGAAAATGCTGTAACAAAGGATTAAAACGGTTAAATCAAGAATTCAGCTATCTCAAAAATATATGTAAAATATTATAAACTTTTATTCGCATGTAAAAAATTTATATACAAAGAAAAAATATATAAATACAAGAAAAAATTTCATTACATAATATGAATAAAGTCTTTAGCGATCAACACAGTAGTATTTCTTAAAATATATACTTAAATAGTATGCAATAAATATCAAATTTACATCAAAATAATTTGTTAATTTTTTTATTTGGATCTACATATTTCATGAATATTTTTCGTTACTGTAAATATAGTTGGTTGAAGATTTTTCCTTAAAAGCGTATTGATTTTTAGAGATTAATCAATAAAGCTATTTAACCTTTTTTTAATCCTCTCAAATATTTCTGATAAGTGGGTAATCAAAGAAATCGTTCGATAGTTACTGACTGACGTTTGATAACAGTAAACACACCTTATATTTAAATTTCCTCACATATAAGGAAACAAACTATTTTTTATAATGCATTTAGATCGAAGACGCGATTAGTATCGTCTGGGATCCACCAGAGTTCAACCTTGGGCCCGCTTCTAATTTTATTATTTATAAATGGTATATGTGAAGATTATGTGCTTAGACATGTTTCGATCTTTTCGTATCTATCTTGGATCAGTAGTCTAGTTTTTGAATTATTAATTGTTATTTAAAATAAATACTAATTAAAAAAAACGCTAACATCGAATCAAGATACAGAGTTTTCAATAATACTAATATTCCATGTGACGTAATAATACAACATTAAGATTGTACTTCTAGCCTAGCAGAGATAAATTTGACAGCGCGGCGATCAAGTTCAGTTTCAGTACTCACGTTATAGTATATAAAGTGTAAAGGGTTGTTTCAGATTAAGTGAAACTAAAACAGTTCTTTTTTAATTACTTGTTAAAAGTGTGTATTAACATAGAGGCGAAAGTTTGTGATTTTTTTTTTTGTAATAAACTGTGTAATCTTACCGAAATAAAGTTGTTTTTGATGTTACGCCTAGATCTCGCGTAATAGCAGCATTGGATATCTTCCCGTTATGTTTTTAATCCGATTTCTAAATCATTTAATTAAAATCAATGTTAAAAAGTGTCTGGTGGCCCGTTGTTGACCCGTTAAAAGTTGAATTATAATTTCAGTAATTATGTCTAGTATCTGCTTTATTCTTGTATTTAGTAGTTTGTTGTAAATACTTTCCCAAAAGTGAAATTATACGGGATGAAAATTATTTGCAACCCGATGGACATTTAATAAAAATTCCTGTAAAAGCTAAGCTTAAAGCAAATGCACGCCTCTGCATTTTATAAAAACCCTAAAATATTTGTCAAAACCTGCACCTACTCCCAGAACATCACATACTGAAAGAAAAAAGGAACGAATCGAACGTTCTAATAAATTAAGTGATACGTTTGAAAAAAAAAACGATATTATCAAAAGTTTTGAGGATTTAGGTTAAAATAGTTAAAAATTTTAAGTATTTGACCCCCACTTCGTAGCGCGAAGACCTGGTACTTTTACTAGCTGCGGTGTTGTCTTTGTTTGTTCATGGCTAGAAGTACAGCTGGTAATGATACAAATTTCATGGAATTTGCATTTTAACTTTTTTGACAATTTTATTGTGAATTACATTATCAATTAACACTTAATATTATACATTTTTACATTCATAAGTGTTATTTCGTTAAGAATATTCTTTGTAATTTTTTTAGTAGCTTTATTAATACATAATATATTCTAGAAATTTAAAAAAAAACTCTCTTAACCTTCTGTTCAATCAATTCATATATTTATAAAGTTCTGCAAAGTGTTTCATTAACTGTATCTTCAGACCGGCCAAATAATGACCTTTTAGCTTGCCATTATGAAAATTTTTAGGCGATTGATGAGATAATTGGCAAATTAGTTTTGTTTTGGTATATTAAAAAAACAAATTGTAACATTTTTCATGTTGCTCATACAAGAGGGTATTTATGACCTATTGTTTTAATAAATAGGGCCATGCAATTTTTTTGGTTAACCCTTTAGCTGCAACCCTCACCAACTTTTTTTTAAATCCAAAGGTATCTCGCATAAGGGTATGGTGAGATTCCATTTTTCACGAGCTTTTAAATGACCCTACACACGACATACCTTTGCATTAAAAAAAAAAAATTTTGGTAAGGTTGCAGCTATGGCGTTGAAGAAAAAAAATTAATTTTATTGGTAACAAATACGTCCAATGTAAAATCAATTCACGTGTTTCAGCGTTTTTTTTTTAAGTTACTAGATGAACAGATAATAATTTTATTCTTAAACTTTCGCGCAACTCTGTATATCTATAACTTTTAAAAGACAGTTTTAACATCTGCTTGTTAATACCATCTCTTCCTCCGAAGCATTCAAGGAAATATTTAGAATAATGCTATAAAACGTGGAAGTAGTTAAATATTTATAATGAAAAAGAAAAAAAAAACTAATGTTTTTAATATTTAGGTATTGTTTCTATAGAACCAATTTAAGGTAACACATTTATCAATGTCCTTATTCTGATGCTATGAGGACATTTTGATGCTTCTTTTGGTACCGCTGTTGCACGCTACATAAAGCTACCCAGGCTAAGATAGAGAAAAATGAGGGTAGTTTTAAGTTTGCCAAATCTCAAAAACATTGGTTTGACATACATTTCGATGATATTTTTGAACCTAGTTCATTGTCTAATCAAATTCAGTTTATATAAACAAAGATAGACTATGTAAACACCTGTATTCAGTGTAAAATAAAATAACAACTGCATCCGTATTTAGCTGCTCCCTCTCAGCATTCTATTGTTCTGAATAGTGTTCTGAATAAGTAGTATAATAATGCTTTGTACGATCAATTCAAGCAAGCAACGCAACGCAGCCATTTCCGTGTTTTACCAATCAAGGCCGGCAATTAAATGCCGTCCTAAATAAGGCTAAACCGTAGCAAGAATGCGTCGACAAAGAGCAATACTTTTATCTATTTATCTCTATCAATTTGGGTTACGGCTGCGTGTGTACGTCTAAATTATATGACTCAATGCACGCGGTATCATTCTGGACAAAGGTATTGTTCTAATACTTTAAACTTTGGAATTTATCTGTGATGCTTTGTTCCGTGAGAGCGAAATGTCGCAAGGTTAGGAAGACGGTTTTAGAAGTGTGCCTAAAAAGAAATTAAATTTTAAGAATTTACTCAAGGTAAAGAAAATTTTTGTTCATCTTTAATCATTGGTGATTCATAGTAAAATATCCGAATAATTGAGTGGAATTGCTGATAGTTTTTTTTTTTAAATAACTTTCCTTAAAGACTAATAAGTAATTCTTTCTCTCTGGCAGATACCGCTGAAAAAGAAATCGTTGAAATCATTTAAACTTTAAAAACAAAAAATCCAAAACAATTGCCGACAACAAACCTATTACATCTTAAATTTATCATAAATCATTTAATGATAAAATATGTCCAAATTCGTTCAAGTTTTTACATGTAAAACCCTTTTTTTTATTTTGATAAACTTTCTTTTACCAACTATGGTTGGGCCCAACTCCTTAATTTCAAACTTTGCAAAAATATTTGAAACTTGAATAAATGATTACCTAAATACAAATATAAGATTATTTCTAAGCAACAATTTGGATTTAAGAATGGTGTAACAAAGCAAAATGCTATAAAACAATTGTTGTATGTCCACTTAGCGAATGCATAGGTTTTGGAGGAGAATCAATCATAGTTAAAATTTGGTACTTAATGAAGTAGCAGAAATTTCACATGAAACCATACAGTTTTTTGACATCGTTTGAGTTGTAACTCAGTTGTATCTTTCTCTGCATCGTCAAAAAGGTAGGTAATTTTTGAAAAGCAAGTTGTAAAAAAAAGCTTTAAGTGATACATAATAGATTGAAGAGAAAACATTTTTAAATTTCTTGAATGTATATAGGGTGTACCAATAAAAACTCTCAGGCCGGATATTTTGGTAAGAAATAGATATATTTTAATTCTGTAAAAGCCAGTTCACAGAGCACTAAGAGAGCTTCTGTTTCAGATACAAATTGATTTTAAATGGGTCAATATGTAGATGGCGCTGCGCTCAATAAATTTTTTTCGATGGGAACTTTCTTTTGTAGCGCATTTTTAAGCAGATTTTATTCTATGAACTAATTCGATAAATCTAGCCATTTTCGATATATAGAGTGGGCCACTCAAAACAGTTTAGCCCTGTTGTTTGGCATTATTCATTGGATTTTAAGAAAATGCTAAAACAGGTCGATTCTTATTCCAAATTCAACATATTTTTACAATATAGACATCTGTCATGTTTCAACCCCATCTCTTCTATTTCTCCAAACTTTAAATAGGGCATGTACCATGTATGACACATCATTGAAAAGGTAATTTTATGGGAGATTCGGAAATATGACTGTTCATTGCGTTACTTTTAATTTTAGTGCCCTCTAGTGCTATACAAATTATTACGTATTAAAGAGTGTGTCACTTCATTAACATTCAATGCATCACATAACATTAATATAAATATTTCCATATTGCACTTGCAACAAAATAAAGTTCAAAATAATTTAGAATTTATTCTTCGACTTCTACTGTTTTGATAATTCGTGATCGACCTTTATTATTTTTTACTTCCAGTTTTCCTGTTTTTCTGCATATATCTTCTGACTGCAGCATTAGCATTTCCCAGACATTCATCCAATGTAAGCAGCATGTCAGTACACTCGTCAAGTGTATACATGCCTTAACAAAAATAATACAAGCATGAATAACACACCGTATTGTCACTTTTACTTGAACCAAATTGTGACATTCCATAGCGTATTTGCTGGAGTGCGTTTAGACCTCGCACGGCGCGTCTGACCAAATATAGGGTTCAGACGCACTGTACGTGGTTTCTAAACGCACTCCTGGTTTATATTAAATCAATACATGACAAACGAACGTACATAACAAAGTTTATGAAGT